GAGGGCGCAATTCACTTCAGGCCAAACCCATACTAGAAAGTTTGCTGGGTGTGTGAGGGCGCAGTTCACTTTCAGGCCCAACCCATACTAGCAAATTTGCTGGGTATGTGAGGGCGCAATTCACTTTCAGGCCCAACCCACACTAGCAAATTTGATGGGTGTGTGAGGGCGCAATTCACTTCAAGCCTAACCCATACTAGCAAATTTGATGGGTATGTGAGGGCGCAATTCACTTCAGGCCTAACCCATACTAGCAAATTTGCTGGGTGTGTGAGGGCGCACTTCAGACCTAACCCATACTAGCAAATTAGCTGGGTATATGAGGGTGCAATTCACTTCAGGCCTAACCCATACTAGCAAATTCGCTGGGTTTTTAAGGGTGCAATTCACTTCAGGCCTAACCCATACTAGCAAATTTGATGGGTATATGAGGGCACAATTCACTTCAGGCAATAACTCATTAACAATATCACATGGCTACAACTTTTATTTAATATTAAACACTCCATAAATATGACAACTGTTCAAGTACATTACATAATCTAAAAAGAGTCTTAAACTGAAGTAAATAATCAACTACTATGTAAATAGCTGTGATTGTGAATATTGTATGCTTAAATATATGGATATGACCAAATCTTGACAAAATAAAGTTACACAAGGCTAATGTCATGTGGTATAAATGTGAAAACTAAGGAGGCGAGTAGTCTCGATTTTGTTAAAAATGGTCACAAAATAGTTCCGTTTATATTCTGCACTTTCCTTCAAAAGATTGGGCGCAGATAAATTTGGACTAGAAAGTCTGGTGGTGAATATGTTAAGTTCCCTTGACAAAAACGAATTTTAATAAATGGCACCCTCGGAATGGTATATAGCACGTTATGCTTTCAGTGTCCACATTTTGGTGATGGCTTTTATCGTAAAATCTGTATTAGATGCTGCATCCATCATAGTACCCGCACCAATTTTTTTTTTAATACTTGAGAAGCAAAAACTTGTGTGTGCAGATGCTCTAATAAAAGCCACATCCCCTCTGTTGGATTGTACCATTTCATAGAAGCCGCAGCTTCTAATACAGATTTTACAGTACATATTATATTAACACAGGAAATATTTTATTAAAAATAAAAATCAGAGAAAAAAATAGGTGCAGCTTTAATAAAAAAAAATTAAATTTTGTTTCATAATAAGTTTTATGAGTCGTAAATTTTTTGCAGTCAAAAAGTATTTAATTGATATATTATGGATCAAACAAATGACAAATGTTGATAAATTTTATGAGATTTGTTCACATTTCAATGTGAAGTTCAGCTACAGCATCAATATTTCAGTTAAAGGGGCATAAGCTGGTATTTTTTTTCCCATGTATATATTTAGATAAAATGCACACACGAGGTATCGTAAATCTGTATTAGAAGCTGCATCCCTAATAGAAGCCGCACCCATTTTTTTTGAAAAATTGAGTGCCAAACATTCACCATTTCTCATATGTGTAGACAAGACGCTCTAATAGAAGCCGCATCCTCTCTGTTGCATTGTACCATTTTAATAGAAGTCACAGCTTTTAATACAGATTTTACAGTACTGGTACTATGTATATGCGAACAGCTGATGGAAAATGAACTTTTGTTTATTTGTATGCTATTACTATGATTAGCCCATACAGAGCTGACAAGTTTTGGTCAAAAGAGGAAGAGAAAATATAGCAGATATGTACCGACTATGAGAATAATATCAAGAACACTTACATTGCTTTCTTTGTACACGTTTTGTATATACATTTATTTCAGCCTTCATTGAGTATATGAGACATTGATGTAGCGATGTCAATTAATTTCAATGATTTTTTTCAAAACTTGGTATTATATTACCGGTATATTGTTCAGTCAATGATTACGGACGGAGACTATATTTTCCCTAATATTTTTTTGTGTTGATTATTACAAAAAATCTGACCGTCTGCGTTCAGAAACTCTTAAATTATATATACCCCGGTATATGAACATCTTCCGGGAGTATAATAAAGCATAGTGGGTGTTCTAATACTTCATTAAATTCACCATCTTATTTATATTTTCAAAGTCATATTACGACTAAAATGGTCCTCCAAATATACCTCTCTCTGAGCATGATAAAATGTAATTGTAGAATATCAAATACATCACCAAATAGTTCCACTACCCCGATAACAGTCTATGAAAGCTCTCCAAGTGCAACTTTAACATACTATGAGACTCATCGATAATACTGCGCCAACAAATTTTGTGGTTTGAAAGTATTATGTATAAATAAATTCGTTGTCAACTGCATTTTGCAGGAAAACCATCCATATTTGTGTACGAGTATCGCGCACATGTAGGTAATAACTAAACAAAAGGATACACACGTGCAGTTCTGACGACAGAGTCACTACCACAGGGTTATTGATTTGCACGATATGTAACTACCTACCTGAGAGAGAAATACTACAGTAGGGCAAAAGAAATACACAGGACTGTGCAATATTTTTTTTTTTTTTGGAGAAGACAGAAACAGAGGTTGACATCCAAGAAGAA